CACCATCATCTACCCATCACCATCCTCATCCTCTACCCATCACTGCCCTCGACCCCTGCCCATCACCACCCTCGTCCCGACCCATCACCATCCTCATCCTTTACCTGTCGTCGCCCTCATCCCGGACCCGTCACCATCCTCGTCCTCTACCCATCACTGCCCTTGTCCTCTACCCGTTACCGCCCTTGTCCCCAACCCGTTACCATCCTCGTCCTCTACCCATCACCATCCTCATCCCCAACCCATCACTTCCCTCATCCTCTACCCGCAACCATCCTCATCCCCTTCCCATCACCGTCCTCATCCCCTACCCCTCGCCGTCCCTAACCCATCACCACCCTTGTCCCCTACCCGTCACCACCCTCGTCCCCTACCCATCAGTGTCCTCATCCCCTTCCCGTCACCGTCCTCATCCCCTGCCCGTCGCTGTCCTCCTCCCCGACCCGTGGCCGCCCTCGTCCCCTACCCGTGACCATCCGCTGCACGTCGATGGCTCCCTCCAGCTTGACGCGCTGCAGCTCGTCCTCCAGGATGAGCTCGTCCGAGGGGTGGATGTATTTGGGCAGCGGGGGCTGCGGCACCAGGTTGTGCTGTGGGGACGGGGACACGGCGCGCACCGACTTCACCCCCTATCCCTTTATCCCGCCAGCGTTATCCCGCCGGGCGCCGGGCGGAGGATTTGGGGCGCGCGGGGGGCGGCCGCCGCTACCTCCTCGCTGATCTCGCGCAGGATGCAGGGCCGCAGCCGCATGGCCTTGAAGAGCGTGCCCACGACGGCGCAGCGCTCGCCGGGCCGCAGCTCGCTCAGCCGGCGCAGCGCCACGCCGGGCCCTGCGGGCGAACCCCCGGGATCGCCGCGCGGGAAGGGGCCTGAGGGGCCCCCCGAGGGGCTCCGGGGGTCCCGGCCCCCTGCCCTCCCTCTCCAAGGGGCTCCGGGGGTCCCTACGAAGGGCACCGGGGGTCCCGTCTCCCCCACCAGCAGCCCCTATAACTGCTGTGCGTCAAAGGGACACCCAGGGACCCCCCAAGGGGCTCCGCGGGTCCCCCGAAGGGGTACCATGGGGATGCTCCAAGGGGCTCGGGGGTCTCTCCAAGGGGGACCCGGGGACCCTCCAAGGGGCTCCGGGGGTCCCATCTCTACCATGAGCAGCCCCTATAACCGCTGCGCGTCAAAGGGGTCCGGGGTTCCCCCAAGGGGCACCCAGGGACCCCCCAAGGGGCACTGGGGTCCCTTCAAGGGGCACTGGGGGTCTCGTGTTCCCCCCAGCA